CGCAGCCAGCAGGGGCATTGCCCCTCGCGGCCCCTCTGCTGCTGGGCTGTGGGCTCAGTTTGAGGTGCCCATGAGCAGGCACGGAGACAGAGCCACCAGCATGTTTTTAAAAATAGACATTTTTTATTAATGTCAGGGAGGGAGAGGGAGAGAGAAACACCAATGATGAGAGAGAACCATGGATTGGCTGCCTCTGCACACCCACACGGGGGATCGAACCCACAACCAGGGCATGTGCCCCAACCTGGGAATCAAACTGTGACCTCCTGGTTCATAGGTCAACGCTCAACCAAGGAGCCACATGGGTCGGGCTGGAGGTTTTGGTTCTAAGTTAAGGTTGAACCTTCCTTCCTCCGTGACCTTTGACCATCTGTGAGTGGCAGGGGGCGGAGCCAGCGTAACACCCAGTGTCCCCGAGGGGGGGCCCTGCTCTCACCAAGCCCTTCACGCCCACAGGCACGGTGCGTGCTGGGTAAACGTGGACTCGCACAGATGATGACACAGCAAACTGGGAAGAGGAGCGGCCGGGGCGGGGATCGGCCCGGGCGGCCTGGCTAATGTTTCACCAGCCGCTTCCCTGCGCCCAGACCCACACCGAGCCCCGGAGTCCATGGCAGCGCCGAACCAGGAGCGAGTCTCTAACCACCTTCAAAACCCGAAAGTCATAAAGCCAGGCCTCAGGAGTGAGCCACCAGGACACACCCTGCTGCCTGCCCGGGGTGTGCTCGTCCTCCCCGTCCGGGTTTCTGGAAGTGGAGGGAGCTGAGGCTGCCGGTCTGAAGGCATTGTTTTCAGTGTGGGGGGAGGGGTACCCCAGGGCCTCCGAGAGGGAAGGGGTGGCCCAGGCAGCCCCATGTGCCTTCTCCCCCATGGCTCCCCTTTTCTGCCCTGGTCTCATGCCCACCGGGTCCTGTGTGTCTGGCGCCTCTGGCCACGCACAGGGGTGGATTCGTCTGTACTGTGTCTGTCAGCAGTCCATCCCCCGGCATCGCTGAGAGGGCTGGCCCAGCCGGTGTGGCTCAGTGGTAGAGTGTCGACCTATGAACCAGGAAGACACGGTTCGATTCCATGTTAGGACACATTCCCCAGTTTTGGGGTCCATCCCCACAGAGAGCATGCAGGAGGCAGCCGATCCATGATTCTCATCATAGCTGTTTATTTCTCTCCTCTCCCTTCCTCTTTGAAATCAATAAAAATATATTTAAACAAAATGAAATGTATATATTTTAAAAAAAAAGAGAGAGCGCTTGACTGTGTGACTGTAACTCGGCTTTTTAAAATCGGTTTCACTCACCGACAGACACGCAGATTGCTTCCCGCCCGGGTTTTGTGAATGAGTCTGCTGTCAACACACACGACGTGTCTTTGACGTGTGCTTTCACGTCTGGAGCAGATTCCCAGGGGCGCGATTGTTGGATCACACAGCCGGGAAGTGGGGCTCTAAGAAATTCCTGGACTGCTTTCCCCAGTGACAGGAGGGAACCCGGGGCGATGGGTGTTCTGAATTATTCTACATCCGTAACTGCTCTAACGCTGGCTGCGGCGACGGCTGAGCAGCTGTGTACACTAGGAAGCTTCGCGCTAGCGTGTGAGTGTCAGGGATGTACTCCGTCCCTCAGCAGAGCTGTTCGGAAGAAATAAGTAAACTCCGGCCGGAAGCCTGGCCGCTTGGGGCCTGTTAGGATCTCACCCGGTGCCACCGGGCTGTGTTCTCCGATGCGCACTGAGTGGTGGGAGATGGGGGGAGGACCTGGGCGGCCTCCGGATGGCCTGGCCTTGACCACCCATGGCCGTCGCTCCAGCGGGCTGATGGGAACACGGAGGCTGCAGCCTTTTGTGTGTGTGTCCACACTCTCTGCCATGTGAGAGGGCTAACGTCAGTCTTTCTGGGAAAGCTGAGCTGGCGTCCCGGCTGCTGCCTGCGGGAACCGGGCTGGACTGAGGCGGCCTCCCTCTCTGCCTGCCCCCTCCTCCCCTCCCCCGCGGCCGCCACAGCCAGGCCTCTGCAGCCGCTTCCTGCCGGGCCTGGGCAGAGTCCCTGCTGAGCCCATGGCTGCGCGCTCCTGGGGACCCAGCCTCGTGGGGAGCGGTGCACGGAGGGGAAAGCTGGAGTTTATTATCCCGGGGCGGGAAGGGGGGGCACCCTGAGCCACCGCCCTGGCGTTTCTCTCTGAAACCTGAGCCTCATGCCAGTGCGTCCCCGGTGAGGGGCCAGGGGCGGTGTCCGCAGTGCCTCTCCCTCGGGCTGGTGCAGCTCTCCAACCAGGCGACCATGGCCGTGGCATCCACCCAAGGCCGTGGCACCCACCCAAGGCCAAGTGCCGGCTGGAGGGGAGGGTGCACAGGGGGCCGAGGCTGCACCCTGAACACGCAGAGCCGCCCCGAGACGGAAGCTCGGGCCAGGACAGCCCTCGGCTAGACACTCGGTGGGCGGGGCTGGAGGCCGCGAGGACCAGTCTGGGGTGAGGGCTGGGGAGCCCTCCAGGGCCCCACCCGTCTGTGATTCACCCTGAGACGCCCCCAGGTGCTCAGGGTAGAGACCAGAGGAACAGTCCTGGCCTCCACCAGGAGCTCAGCCTCCTGCCACCGTCCATCATGTCTGCCCGGGAGCCATGCTGAGCAGCCCGGGGGGGGGGCCCTCTGTGGGGGGCCTTCGGGCTGACTCCTGTGTCCCTTACCCTGAGGCTGTCCTCACAAAACGGCCTCCAGAGGGGACGTGAGCGAGCTTCTCCGTGTCCAGGGCCCACTGCCGTCTCTGCTGAGCCCTCGGCCCAGCCGGCTCTGCAGCCAGGAAACGCCCGCCAAGCCCCAGCCCCCCAGGGTCACCCTGCCGGGCACCGCGGAGCTGGCGAGCCCCTTCCACTGCACCTCATTCTGTCTTGACGGGCCCTCGGGGCTCAGAGAACTTTCCAGAAGACACAGCCCGCCAACATCTTGATGTGATTGCACAAGAGTCCGGAGCCAGAAGCAGCAGCTGTCGCCCCGAGGCGCGTCTCACCGTGTGGAGCCATTTGTCACCAGCAACGGAGGACTAACACACAGCCATCTTTTTTTTTTTTTTTTTTTAATAATTTTTAAAATGTTTTTATTGATTTCCAAGAGGAAGGGGGGGAGAGAGAAACATCCATGAGAGAGAATCAGATTGGCTGCCTCCTGGACACCCCACACAGTGGATGGAGCCCGCAACCCGGGCCTGTGTCCTGACCGGGAATCGAACCCTGAAGTCCTGGGTCATAGGTCCACTATCCACCACTGAGTAGCACCGCCGGGGCAGCCCCACGGCTCCACGCTCAGTGTCCGTGGCGGCGGAGACTTCCTGGCATGGCCGAGCTCTGATGGCAGAGGCCGAGGCTGGGGACAAAGAACAAGCTGCCTGCCCGGGCGGGGCCCAGGGCCCACCCCTCCGGTGCCTGGGGTCTCCCTGGCGGGCAGTGCTTCCGAGGGATCAGCCTGCCTGCCTGTCCTCGGCAGGCGGTGACGGGCAGGCCTCTCGGGAACGGTCCCAGGCCCGGTCCCTGTGCGGGTGGAACCGGGGACCCAGCAGGAAGGGGCCGCAGGAAGGACCCGGGGAGGAGGCAGCAGCAGCAGGAAGTGACGCTGTGACAGGAAAAGGAAGCTCGGTGGTCCAATGCACGGTGTCCCCAGGCAGGTGCACACACCGACAGCTGGTGGCTGTTTTGAAAATGGGGTCCATTTTAATGGAGCCCGCCAGTACGGTCACTCAGAGTGTGCGGACATTTGGGGGGACAGCCTGCATCTTTTACCTCTAGGCCCTCAAGGTGCTCTGTGCGTGGACGCCCAGAGGCTCTCAGACACGGGGCTCCCCTGCTGGGCCCCTCACTCAGCCAGGACCAGGCTGGGGGTGTCCAGGAGGATCCTGTCCACAGGGCCCTCCCCGCCGCTGCCGCCTTGCACGTGCCCACGGGGAATGAGTCCAGGCGAGGGCCCAGTCCAAAGGCCAACGCTCTGTCCACTGAGCAACACAAGCCAGGGCTCACCGCTTCTTTCTAACGGGCCTAAACGGGCATCTCCCAGGACAGCCCAGCACCGGGCACCTGGAGCTAATTCTGTCCCTGTCGCTTCTGCACCAGCTTCAGAGGTCCGGCCCCTGGGGCAGGAGCCGTGCGGGGCAGGAGCCGTGCGGAGGCTCCTCGCCAGCTTTCCCTTTCCTGTCTGGCCCCTGGGAAGCAGCTCGGGCTGGCCCTCCGGGCCTGCGGAGCGGGAGAATTCAGATTCTCCGGTCTTTGATCCTCGCCGCCGTCAGTGCCCCTTCCCAGCCGTGTCTGGTGGAGCCCTCGCTGTCACCCACGATGGCTGCTTAGGAGCCAGGATTGCAGACGGCCGGTGGGTGTGGCAGGCCCGGGCCACCTGGGTGCATCTGTGCACGCCAAGGGACCAGGACATCGAGGCCTGTGGTTTGGGCAGAAGCTTTCCCATTTCTGCTGAGGGGCCCCCGGGCCCGGCCGCACAGGGCTGTGCGGGTCTGGAGGGTGGGCCCTGCCTCGCCCGCCCTGGCGCCCGCGCGGCTCCGGGGACCCGGTGGAGCCGCTGGTTGGGTGAAGGGAAGGCTCCAAAGGAACCCGGGGCACCGGGGTGGCCAGCACCTCCAGGCCACCGCCATCTCGGCGGACACCTCCCTGTGGGTGCGCTGTGCCCTCCGCCGGGGGCTGAGGACGGGGTCAGGCCCAGGAGGGTCCAGGCCCAGCGACCGCTGAGGCCACCGGCTCCCGAACCCACACCTGCCAGTTAGACGTTCGGGGCGGGGGGGTCCCCTCCTGCCCCCGCGGACCGGGGCCGGGCGGCGGGGCAGGCGCAGCGGCCGCCGGTGCGCACGGCGCCTCCGCTCCCCGCGAGCCCCGCGAGCCCCGGCGGACGGGCGGGCGCGGCCCGTGGCTCCGCTCCGCCGCGGCGCGATCCAGGCCGGGATCCCGCGCCCGCCGCCGCCCGCGGAGCCCCGCCCCGCGCCGCGCCGCCGCCGGAGGCCGCCGGAGCTCGCGAACATGGCCGAAGTCGGCGAGGACAGCGGGGCCCGCGCCCTCCTGGCGCTGCGCTCGGCGCCCTGCAGCCCCGCGCGGTGCGCCGCCGCCGCCGCCGCCGCCGCCGCCTTCCCGGCCGCCGCGGGCCCCGCCGCCCCCGCCCCCGCGCCGGCCGCCCCGTCGCCGCCGCCGCCCGCCCAGCCCCCGCCGCCGCCGCCGCCGCCGGGCGCCGCCGCGGGGGGCGCGGGGGCCGCGGGGGGCGCGGGCGCGCCGGGCGAGGCCCTGGTGGCCGCGGCGGCCGCCTCGGTGCGCCGGAGCCCGGAGCCGGTGCTGGCGCGCCTCGAGGGCCGCGAGTTCGAGTTCCTCATGCGGCAGCCGAGCGTCACCATCGGCCGCAACTCGTCGCAGGGCTCGGTGGACGTGAGCATGGGCCTGTCGAGCTTCATCTCGCGGCGCCACCTGCAGCTCACCTTCCAGGAGCCGCACTTCCTCCTGCGCTGCCTCGGCAAGAACGGCGTCTTCGTGGACGGGGCCTTCCAGCGGCGCGGCGCGCCCGCCCTGCAGCTGCCCCGGCAGTGAGTGCGCGACCCCGGCCCGCCCGCCCCGCCCCGGTGCCCGCCCGCCGGCCCGGCCCCCGCACCCCACCGGCCTGGCCTCTGCCCCGAGGGTCGTCCGGACCCGGGGCCCCCGCGCGCTCGGGCGGTGTGGCCGGAGTGCGGGCCCGTCCCCGCGGGAGGCTGGTCCCCGGCGGCGCCGTGGGCGGAGGGGCCGCCCCTCCCGGGAGGACGGGTGCCCTGGATGCGCGGAGAGGCGGCTCCGGACGCCCCGGGGCGGGGGGCAGGGTCCCCGGCGCTCGGCCAGGGCCGGCGGGAGGGAGGCCGCGGGGCGCGGGCTCCGCACCTCCCGGTATTCCTTCCTTCCGCCGGCTCACTTTCCCCGCTTCCGGTTCCCACGCGCCGCCCGGGGAGCCCCGCTGCGGGAGGAGAAGGCCGGTTCCTGCCCGTCTCCCCGCGCCCCCCGCGGCGGCGCCGGTGCCGGCCCGCGGCCCCCGGTGTGTGCCTCCTCCCCAGCCCCGCCAGCCCCTCCGTCCTTCCCGGCGGAGCCGCCTGGGCCGCGTGCTCGGCGGCGAACGCGCTGCTGCACAGTCTGCGAGCGCAGCGTCCAGTGACTCTCGGCGCTTTGCGGACACGAGAGGGGGGCGCCGGGGAAGCCGGGCCGGGCGAATGGCGGGCGGGCCGGCCGGGATCACGGCTCCTGTCTCTCCGGGAACCGGCAGGCCCGCTCCCGGCCATTAGCCGCATGGGGCGGCCACGCCTGTGGGAACCAGGTGAACGGCCCCCGCCCTCCCCTGCGGCTCCGGCTGCGGCTCCGGCTGCGGCTCTGCGCCCTGACTCAGGCAGCCGCCCGGCGGTCCCGGCTCCAGCTCCCGCCTGGCTGTGGGCAGGGCCTCGCACCTGGGTTCCGGGGTTTCCCTGGCCCGGGGGAGGACACGGTGGCCAGGGGGGCAGTAGCTGAGCAGGCGGCCACGTCTGTGTCTGAGGTGGGCTTGGCGCTCACCTTGCTCTGCAGGTGGCACCCCCGGAGCTGGGCTTCTCCGCGGGCGCATCCCTGGGCCTGTGGCCGCTGCGTGCCCCGCCCAGCCTGTGGCTGCTTGCCTGCGATCCGGCGGGCAGGGTGGGGAGGGAGGGGCGTGAGGGACGCCTGTGTGTGCTCCTGGAGAGGGCTGTTTGCTCTGGAAGCCTCACAGCTGATGGCAGTCCGCCCGCCCGCAGTCTGGCCGTCTCTCCTCTTCAGAAACTCGGCCTGAGGCTCCTGGTACCCTCTGGGCTGTCAGAGCTCCTTCCCAGGGAAGCCCAGCCTCGGCGCGGAGGCGACCAGGGCGTTTTCGTGACTTGAGAGCCGGGGAGTGACGTGCACAGTTTCCTCTGAAACGAAAGCTCGTGACGGCTTCCACGCGGGGTCTGTGGCGCCGGTGCACAGCTTTGACGTCATGCGTGTCCTCACCGCACGTTAGGGCCCTGACTGTGGGGAGCGTTCACTGCCCGTGGGCTGAGGTTGCATGAGACTCAGGCTCACCCCCTCACACCGCCCCCCACATATGCCCCGGCCGCAGCAACTGGCGGGTTCCGGCCAAACTCGGTTTATCTTTGCCGCCACTCACCTTGTTCCCGCCTGTCATTTGGGAGCAAATCACAAACGTCGCGGCGCCTGCCTTAGAGATAAAGCTGCTTCTCCAGCCTAACCGCAGGGTCGCTATCGCACTCACAGCCAAGGATTTCCTCTGTCCCTGGCGCCCAGGCTGGTTTGGGCTCCCTTCCTGCCGGGAGGTTTGAAGGGTTTGCGTTGACTCTGGAAGGTGGGGTGGGCACTTCGATTGGCTGGTGCCCACCGTCCGCCCGCTCCACCTGCCTCTCCTTTCCGCTGTGGCGAGGTCCCGGCCTGTAAGCGTCCCGTCCTGTAAGTTGGCGGCTGGGCCTGGAGGCTGGGTCAGGCTGGGTGTGACGTTTGGGCCAGACTTGCCTCAGAGGCAGTGGGCAGCGGTGTGCCTGTCAGGAAGCTGCTGCCGAGGTCGGCCTCGTATTGTCACCTGCGCGGCGTAGCTGCCCTGCCTCCGCTCCCCGGGCTGGCTCCCCCCCCAGCATGCGGTGACTGGCGTGCTACGGATCACGGCCTCTGCACGTGTGCCGTGACGAGCAGTCATTAATTGTAACCGCAAAGCACGTTACTACATAAGTGTTACTGTGTAAGTGAAAACACAGAACGTAGTTCGAGTTGCTGTTCCATCGCGCCATTTGAAGATCGCATTAGTCACTGGCCTTACCCAGTAGTCACTTCAGCGGAGTTCACTGGGACGCACCCAGACTGAGTGAAGACGGCAGGTGTCAGCCAGTGCCGGCACCCCAGGGACAGGGAGTGTGTTCCGGCTCCTGCCCCTGTCACGTGGTTTCACACATGTGGACGTGGGTCACGGCCTGGACGGTGCTGCCCAGGACTGGGCCTGTGTGCCTAGTTGGATTTGTGCTTGGGACAAGAGAGGGAGTCAGTCAGGGTAGCATGTTCTGGGTGGCATGTTGAGAGGGTAGCATGTTTGGAGGGTGGTGTGTCGGTGGATGGCGTGTTCGGGAGTGGCGTGTCAGACGGGTAGCATGTTCAGGGTGGTGTGTCAGACGGGTAGCATGTTCAGGGTGGTGTGTCAGACGGGTAGCATGTTCAGGGTGGTGTGTCGGACAGGTAGCATGTTTGGGGTGGCATGTTGGGAGGGTAGCATGTTTGGGGGTGGTGTGTCGGTGGATGGCGTGTTCGGGAGTGGCATGTCAGTGGGTGGCGTGTTCAGACAGGTGGTGGTTCGGTAGAGGAGATGGTTTGAGGCTGCAGAACGGAGAGGCTGGTGCTGTGCCTAGACCGCTGGGACAAGACATGCAGTGGCCTGGCCAGCAGCTGGGTTGGAGCATCATCCCATTGCCACCCCCTTTGGGGCCTGTACGGGAGTCTGCCAGCTTGTGTCTGTCTGTCTGTCTCTCTCCCCCTCTCTCTCGTCAATAAAAATGTATTCTCAGATGAGTACTTTTTTTTTTAATCCTCACTCAAGGATATTTTCCATTGATTTTTAGAGAGAGGAGGAGAAAGGGAAAGACAGAGAGAAACATGGACGTGAGAGAGACACATCAACTGGCTGCCTCCTGCACAAGCCCCGGCCAGGGCCCGGGCAGGGGAGGAGCCTGCACCTGAGGCATGTGCCCTCGGCCAGAATCGAACCCGAGACCCTTCAGTGCATAGGCCTGGGCACTATCCACTGAGCCAAATGGGCCAGGGCAGTTTTTTAAAACAGAAATGTGGCGCCCACTCTGAATAACGGCTTTTCTGGCTTTCCTGCCGGTTAGAAGTCCCTGTGTCGTAAACATTTGCTCAGAGTCAGGCTGCCGTCTCATTCAGACTCTGGAGGGCTCCTGGGCGGGGCAGGCGGGGGCAGCCGCCGCCTCGGGGGGTTTAGAGAGGCGCCCCTCTCTCCCGCCGCAGTTCCCCTGCAGCTGGGGCTGTCCCCCGCAAGGACAGCATGTCGTGTTGAAATCAGTGCTGTCGGGTGTGCAGTGGGTCCAGGAGCCTCTGTCACTGCGGGCGGCAGACAGCGGTGCGGACAGGGTGTGGGGCTCTGCGTGTCGCGCTCGCCTTCGGAAATGACGGCCACGTGGCGTGTGTGCGGGAGGAGAGGCACTGGCTCTGGACGGGCAGCGTCCACTCCGCTGCCCGCAGGTCTCCTAGATCAGGCCAGACAACGCCAGCGACAGCGGCCTCGTTGCCATGGCACCTCCATCCCGGCGCCTCAGGGAGGGGCCGCTGGCCGGCTTCCTGGCAGCAGCCCTGGCGCTGGCTCCCCGGCTGCGGGCGGAGCTCCTGCCGCCTGGCAGGGCCGGCGGGCGGGCGAGGGAACAGGCCACGGTGTGAGCGGAGCGTTCGGCCGAGGCCGGGAGAGCGGCGTGTCCCTGTTTGCTGGGCGCCCGTGGCCATGCCCTTGGGCTCCCGTGGGCACTCTGCCTGTGGCCCACGGGGCTGCCCGTGGCCCACGGGGCTGCTCGTGGCCGTGGTGGGGTGAGCTGGGTGGCCCTGGAGGCGGCGTGCCCAGGCCGTGTGAGGGTGTTCCCGGCTCTGACCAGGAGCTTTTGCCCGCTGTCCCCTGGGACCTGTCAGCCACACCGTCCTCCGTGTCCCAGGACACTCCTCCCGAGCCCGTGTACAGCACACGCTGCCCTGCCCGCAGCCCAGGCGCAGTCCCGTGATTCCCCAGCTCAGGAGTCCGGGCCGGGGTGGGTGTCTGTTCCTGTTAGCCTCGGAGCCCAGAGGCTGAGGGGTGTGAGCTGGTCCCAACGGCCTCTTGTGAGCAATGGCTGTGCCCCCAACAGAAGTGTCTAAGGGAGGTGCTGGCTTCCTGCCGGTCTGTGTGCCTGCCCCTCGTCACCGCGCTGTCGTGTGTATGTGTGTGTGTGTGTGTGTGTGTGTGTGTGTGTGGAGGAGGAATCCTGCCTGGGTAAGCGTGTGCGGGGAGAGGGGGAGTCCCGCCCGGGTAAGCGTGTGTGTGTGTGTGTGTGTGTGTGTGTGTGTGTGTGTGGAGGGGGAGAATCCTGCCCAGGGGCAATATCACTGCTGCCCCCGGCGCCCGCCTCCCTGTCAGCTGCTCCCAGCCCCGGCTCCGGCCAGAGCGGCGCTGTCTCTGCAGATGGGGGGGCAGGGCGCGCCTGCCCGCGGTCAGCCAGCTGGGCCGTGAGAGCCGAGAGCCTGCGCCGAGGCGGGTGCTGTCGGCGCGGCCGGTCCGGGTCGGCCTGGGCGTGTGTGGACGCACTGAAGAACCCATCTTCGTTCAGTTTTCCGTTAGTCTGGCTTAGATAGCACGTGTGCTGCCTGCCTGTGGTTCCTGGCACACGTGTGGCCATCGCCTCGGGTGACCCCGCTCCCAGGGTGAGCACTGCTGCTGCGGCGTCCCGTCCCTCCGTGAGAGAGACCGCGCGGCCGGTCTGGCCTGGGCCCGGCCGCCCACCCAATGAGGTGGCTGCGGGTCCGGGCGCGGAGGCTCCGTGCCCGC